CCGCCCCCACCTGATAAAGGGCGCTATAGAGCGCACTATCCCATCTTGCATCTACAGAGGCGCGGCGGGCACATGTTGCACATATCAAGCTCCACGTCTCGTTGAGTGTGTGTGTGGCTCCATAGCTCAGTGGTTAGAGCACTGGTCTTGTAAACCAGGGGTCGCGAGTTCGATCCTCGCTGGGGCCTAACACGCAGTCTGATGTCCATTATTTTTGCGGATGACCTTTATCCCAACCCACCCACTCATTTTGAACTATCACTGCTTGATTCCAAGTTCTTTGCGCACTCCAACCTTGAATGTTTTTAGTTCTGTGGGTGTTGATAACTGCACTACAAAGATATCAGATCATACGCCCTCTGGCGGCAACAGGATGAAGCTAACTCCACAGTAGAGGGTTTTTACTCTAAAATCAATTTACTAATGGGTCATTTTAAAAATAAATAGATTTAGTTTCAAAACGTTACAAGCCACAAGGTTATAGTTTTTAATAGAACTTGTCAGATATAAAACCAGCCCAATAATTTTTAGTTCAAAGATCAATAAAAACCCAACTGCATCTAATAAACACACACAGAAATTGATACATTGTTTTGTTAAAGATCATTATTTTGTTTTCAACAGAAAAAGTATTTATGTATTTCGTTTTCACAATGATTGTATAAACTATCCATATAAATGACACAAAACCAAATACAACAAACATAACCAGTAACAGAGTAGAAATTCAAATCTTTTTTTTTTTTTTACTGTTTTTTCTTTGTCTAAATAAACATTTCATTTTATTACTGGTAATCTGTGATTTGATTTGTCTGATGGCCACACACTCTGTCTTTAAATTTTATTCAACTGGATGAAAACGAAAACAACCCTAACTGCCTGGCTTTCGATAGTAAGGGTTTTTCTGCCCTCTAGCGTTCAAAAGCTGTTTTTACAGGCAATGTTCATAAAGCTTAACAACCCATCAGCACAGCTAAAAAATTCCTTCAAAATAAAACATGATACTTAAAATTTACTACAGGTTTGAAGTTGATGTTCAGCATACTCAGTCTAAATAATGAGAAAGCCAGAACGTCCTCAATTATACAAACCTCTTAACTATTAGACAAAATAAAAATCTATTGTAACAAGATCAATGAGATAAAGCAAACTCAGCAGGTAGGTTACAACACAACAAACGTATCAGAACACATGCCCTCACAAGGGCAAACTAGCCCCACAGTTTGAGGAATTTTATTCTTAATAAATTAAATCAAGCTATTAATGGGTAATAAAAATGTTATGTATTTTGTTACAAAATTTTACCAGCATAAGTTTTGGGTTTCTAATAAAAAATGTCAGATATAAAACTAATAAACAGCATCTAATAAACTCACAATGACACTGATGAACATGGTCCATAATTAGTTTAAAACATTAATGATTTAGATTCCACAATGAATGAATACACTACTCTTCTACTTGGGGCGATGATTCTAACATAAATAGAAACTTTACTTGAAAATTCCTTTTACCATCCCTGTTTATAGCCTGTTAAGTTTTTCTGTAATTATTCAACTTTTATTTTCAAATTCTCTTATGGTTTCATCTATTTACATTATCTTTACCACCAAATGGTTCCCGAGCGCTGCTGTGTCTGCAGCTCACCGCTCCCCCAGGGATGGGTCAAATGCGGAGAACAAATTTCGCGCACACATCAGTGTGTGTGACAACTAATGGGACTTGAACTTTTTATATTGAACTTTTCATGTCTTAAAATAAATGTTGCTGCTTTTATTTTTTTATCACATTACACAGCACGAACAGTGCAGCTTATTATAATGATGCTACAAGTAAAACTCATTTTGTGTGATATGCATTTCAGGTTCCAGAAGTTGGTAACACTTCACATATTAATCAGTAGCCTCTATAATTAGAATCACATCATTCCCAATGGGACATTGGTCTGCTGGTTAAGTTAAGTTTGGCAGGTGTGTTTGTTTCCAGCTGAAAAATGAAATTACTATCATTTACAGGGCTGAGACCTATGGGCCTGTGTGCAGGATCAACATTCTGCACTGGATTATTTTATGCATAACCTGTCCAGAGGCTACAAAGGTAAAAAAAAAATAAAAATAAAAGTTCTGTTCTATTAAAGACAAATTACACACAAATGTAATCAAATGTTTCCAAAATACATACAAATAATCACATAACTGTTTCAGTCACAACACTGAACAGATTTAGTGTACATGCATTGAAGCAGTATTGGTTTAAATAAAAATAAAAAATAGCTCATTACATGTGATGTCAAACTGCGTTCACTCAGAAACTTGGAACGTTGGTATTTTATTGGTTCTGTTTTTAGGAAATCTTGATGTCCCACAAGTACCCCAAGACTGAATTCATCTACAAAAGACTGTCACACCTGTTTGGTCAAAGGTAGCTTTCAGAGTATTAGAAGCAAAAATGGATCTGATCTATAATAATAGTCAGACAACAACTGACTATGGCTGCAGCCATCATTGATCTTAATAATCGTTTAATCTGCCAAAGGCGTCGATTGATGATCGAATAATTGAAAAAGCCTTTATTATTGCTTTTAATTGAAAATGTGATCTAAGTAAAAGATTGATCACGGTTGGAGTATGGTTAGCCAGTAAACTTCTGATGGAGGGAGCTGTCTCTGTTCTGTCAAATCAGCAGATGTGAGAGATTGAAGAACTTTAGTGTTTCTGTCACAGTTTCAACTAGCTTTTGTTCAGGAAGTAAAAGGCAACTATCGTGGTGCTGAAACTTATGTGCTTTTGATTTAGCTTTTAAACGCGTCTGCGGGTTCATACGGCCCAACCAAAGGGATTTCTGTGTGGGCGTGGCCAGTGATAGCTTGTCTCTCCCTTTAAAAGTGACCCCGGCTTTCCACGGGAGCCGTCAGCAGCACGTTACTGCAGCAGCACGTCATAGCTGCTGATAGGAACCGCTGTGGTCAACAGAACCTTTTCCACCGGAGCCGTCAGCAGCGCGAGTCGGCCGCGTCTCAGGAGCAGCATGTCGCGGCCTTTACGCGCCGGTTCTATTTTCTACGCGCGACGCCTCTGAAACGGGTCACGTTCGACATTTTTGAGGAAGGAAAGACAGGAAATCGGACGCGGAAATGGAGAGAAGCTACCGAGATTTTCAGAATAAAGAACGTACTGCCTTCCAGTTGCTTTACTTTTAGAAAAAGTTACTAACTGTGCGTCCCCGTGAGAAGTTATCACCTAGCTAGCGGTCTCCTTTGTTTTTCAGGTCCGTATTGGCGATTATAAAACGGACAGAACATAAAACACAAACCATGTTGTAGTTTTCTCCTGCTTGTTGTTGTGTTTACTGACGAAGTCACTCGTTTGACTTCGTGCTCGGTCGGTGACAGCTGCTCCCCTGCTGCTTCGCGTCTCGTGGGAAGGGCCAAGCAGCAGCTTACGCGAGCAAGACGTGCTGCTGCAGTAACGTGCTGCTGACGGCTCCCGTGGAAACCCGGGGTGACAAACGGCTCATTCTGGAGGGTCGTAAAAATGTCAAGAACAGAGCTGGTGTGATTGCTTTGTTCTTTCTCATTTTGCAGATTTTTAGGAAACGGCCTGTTAACAGCTCTGGATCATGGATTGTGGCATAAACAGCGTCGGCTCATGAATCCTGCCTTCTACAACTTGTGAATTATTCAGTTATAGTTCAATAATTATTTATATTCTGTGTTTTCCTTTATTGTTTGACAGTGCATCACTGTTCAGTTACAAAATGCCTCTAGGATTTAGCTGGTACCTTCTGCATATTTGTCGTAGGCTGAAACTTTGACTACTTTCAGGTACTTGAGTGATTTGATGGATGCCTTCAATGAAAAAGCAGAGGATCTGATGGGTAAACTTGCAGATGAAGCTGATAACAACACTGTAGCCAATATGCAGCACCTTGCTTAGCCAGGAGGGGCTCAGCCAAAAACTAAAATTAGAATTAAATAGACATAATCTTGATTATAACACAGTAGGGTAAGACTATCACCATTACAGATTCCTGAAAAATCACACATAATTCCTGAAATGGGGAAAACTCCGGATTGCTGCTTATTGTTTTAACATTACAGAGTGAGAAAAGAAGTGGATGATGTCATCGGGATGAAATATAACATAAGTTATGAAGATCTCGGAAAATTGACCTACCTCTCACAGGTACGCACCACAACTGACTTTGTACAGATAACATCTTTACTGAGTTCTCGCTTAAGTTTATATCTGAACATCTAATCCAATGAAACTTTGACTTTTTGTTTAGGAAGCAACAGCTAATTAAGTGTATTTGTACTTAATAAGCGGCCCAAATCCTTATAATGACACATCGTGACGTAACCCTCCCACAGGTACTAAAAGAGACGCTGAGACTTTACCCGACAGCTCCAGCTGTGTTCCGTAAGATTCCAGAGGACACGGCGATTGATGGTCTCCACGTCCCTGGAGGAGTCAGCTGTATAGTGAGTTTATTTCTTTAAAACATTTATGTCACCAAAGAAGAAAGTGATTTAATACTTTAAATAAGTGGCCACCTGTAGTTTGATAATCATGAATTTAGAATGTCAATCATGCAAGAATGATATTTAATTGTGATGTTCAGTTTAGCTCCTTCGTAGCTGGAAGACTGGAGAAATTCTCCAAGGAGCCACTGACATTCGATCCAGCCAGATTTCACCCAGATGCTCCGAAGTAGGCAACCTTTAGTTTGATTCTGCTCATCATCGCTAAGCCAGGCTAACGAAGAAAAACTGTGTGTTTGCTGTTCCCCAAGGCCTTATTAAGCTTGGTTTATGCTTGACGCATTCACTTTCCGCGCGGTGATGCGGCTCGCGGATGGAACGCGCTTCACAACTCGCAGCGTTTATGGTTCGTGCGGCTTGTCTCTGCGGTGAGCCAATATTCTCCCAAACTGTAGGGGGCAGCATGGAGCTCTACGGCAAGCATCCAACACTACACCATAGTAGAAGTAGAAATTACTGTTTACAACATGGCATTCCAGCATTTTTAACAGCGTCCTCGTCTTTTCCGACAGTGCGAGCTATTTCTCTCCAAGAATTATTAACAACATGTTGATCACGGTGATCTCTGAGAGCTGAATCATACAAAGGTCTGTATTTACGAACCTCTGCCATATTAGTTATTGCCGGTCCGCCATGTTTTTCCGTGTCTGTCCGTCCGCGTGGTTAGAAATTTTCCTAGGTGCGCGTTGGCGGAAATTCTGGGCTGTGCGGAGGCGCGGTGGAGGGGCGTGGTTGTTAAAATGACGCAAAATGACGCAACTTTTCCGCGCGGAGCCGTGCGGACCTCGCGGACGCGTCAAGCATAAACCAACCTTTACTGCTACTTCCCCTTTGGCCTGGGTCCACGAGCATGCCTGGAGAGAAGTATTCGCAGGTGGGTAGAGACCAAACATTACACGTAATAAAAAACACAGATGCAGTTCAGCGGGTGTTGTTTTTTCAGATGGAGGCTAAAGTTGTGATGGTGAAACTGGTCCAGAGGTTTGATTTCACCCTTGCCCCAGGCCAGACCTTTGACATCCAGGACTCTGCCTTATTGGGACCAAAGAATGGAGTTTTTTGCTTCGTAAAACATCGAAAATGAAAATGTAAAACTTCTCTAACAGGAAATTTGTGTCTCTCAAGGTGTCTGCTCTGTCTTCTCGATCCCCAGTGAGTCGTGGAGGATGGCTGTTTATACTGAGCCAGGATCCTCTGGAGGTTTCTTCCTGTTAAAAGGGAGTTTTCCTCTCCACTGTCGCTGCATGCTTGCTTAGTCTGAGGATTGCTGTAAAGTCACTGACACTAGTCAGTGACTTGATGCAATTTGCTGGGTTCCTTATATAGGACATATTATTTCTGATTGGCTTAATGAACTGTGAATTGGAATGTTTATTATGTGAAGTAACTTGAGACGACTCTTGTCGTGATTTGGCGCTTTATAAATAAACTTGAATTGAATTGAATTGAATTGTGTGATTTTCCAGGATGGCTATGACTCTTTCTGGCTGTTGATGTAGATCTTTAATGTTTGTGTTCAGGGTTTTATTAATATGGGACGTATTCTAATACCTACAAATAAAATCACCATAAAAGGCATTTTGCCTTTTCACATAGAAACTAAATGACAGTTTGGACACAACGTTGCTATGACCAATGAAACTGGTTTTGGCTGACCAAAGAACCGCCTCAGCATTCAGGTCTAGTGGGACGTTTTCCATTTTAACACCAAAATCTGAATTCCATTAAAAACACACAAGAATCACTGATTAATATGTGAAAACTGATGCTCTCTCAGTGGCCTAGTGGTGGAGTGTCCACCCTGGGACTGGGCAACTGGGGTTCAAAACCGGTCGGGTCTTTGGTATGACCTGACTGGTTTTGAACCCCCTGCCTTTCTGCTTGACACTCAGCCATGGGGGTTTAGATTGGGGGGCTAAACCACCACATAGTTCCCAAACACGGCCACACCTGCAGCTCACCACTAGCGGAGATGTAATTTCACCAGTGTGTGACGACTAACAGGACTTTATTTGCACTCAGTTTGCTGTCTTGGTGATTTGTGTGAGTGTACACAAGGGGGCGCTGTCATCTAGACTGAATTTTCTGATCTCTGTTCTGTTTTTGACTGTAAGCCATCAGATCAGATGACTACACGTCATAAATAATGAGTGAAAACAGATCCAGAAATAGTTCAGTTTTAATGGTTAATATAGTAATTTAGACCATAAATAATATAGAAATAATCAGCTGTAACTTAATACTTCAGTTGAAGTGGGTGGGTTAGGATTTGTGTGTGTGTGTGTGTGTGTGTGTGTGTGTGTGTGTTTGCGCGCACATATGTGTGTGTGTGTGAGTGTGTGAAAGTAGTGTGATCTGATCAGGTGTTTTAAGAAGTTAATCACCTTTTGTTTGCATTTGTGAGTCATTTCCATTTATACTGTAATAAATTCTAGTTATTAAGTAAATGTGCATTTAATTATTCTCTGTTTGCTGTCATTAATCAAAAGGCTCAGTGGAATTTGTTTAACTAATTTCCACGATTGTGAACAGTGTACACTTTAATCTGAAAGCTCTCAATGCTCTGCCTCAGATTTACATTTAAATTCATCTTTTTGGCGGTTGACTTTTAGGAGTTTAGATAGATTTGCAGACGTTACATTCTTTGATGTTAGGCTTTCTCTAGGTCGAGTCTTCTTATGTTGTTTTAATTTCTTAGTATCTCGGGGTCTTGTTCACGAGTGAGGGAAAGCTGGAGCGTGAGGTCGATAGGCAGATTGGTGCTGCGTCTGCAGTGATGCGGGCGTTGTACCGGTCTGTCGTGGTGAAGAGAGAGCTGAGTCAGAAGGCGAAGCTCTCGATTTACCGGTCGATCTACGTTCCTACCCTCACCTATGGTCATGAGCTTTGGGTAGTGACAAAAAAGAACAAGATCGCGGATACAAGCGGCCAAAATGAGTTTTCTCCACAGAGTGGCTGGGCTCTCCCTTAGAGATAGGGTGAGAAGCTCAGTCATCCGGGAGGGGCTCAGAGTAGACTCGCTGCTTTCCCCACGTCAAGAGGAGCCAGTTGAGGTGGCTCGGGCATCTGGTCAGGATGCCTCCTGGACGCCTCCCTGGTGAGGTTTTCAGGGCACGTCCAACCGGGAGGAGACCTAAAGGTAGACCCAGGACACGGTGGAGGGACTATGTCTCTCACCTGGCCAGGGAACACCTTGGGATTCCCCCGGAGGAGCTGGCCCAAGTGGCTGGGGAGAGGGAAGTCTGGGCCTCTCGACTTAGGCTACTGCCCCAGTGACCCGACTCCGGATAAGCGGAAGAAAATCGATGGATGGATGGATGGAGAATGAATGTGACGTGTTCTAATCTTTGTGTTTTTCCTGGATTTAGATTAGAAATAATAAATATCTTTCATGGCCCAGTCCCACACAGCTGATCAGCAGTTTGAAGGTCTGATCAGGCAGATAATCCAGCTTTAGTCCAGCGCCCTCCTGCGTTCTGTGTAGTTTTGTCTCCTCTTTCAAGGCGCTGAGTTGTAGAAACATCTCACGATGATGTTAAAAGGCAGAAAATGAATGAGATCATTAACATCACAAGTCTGTTCCACTTTTATTGCATTCAACTTTGTTTTGTTACCCCACTGACACGTCTAACCTGATGGTTTCGTCTTGGACTGATAGAACGTCCGTGAGAATGTTCTGAAGGAATTATTTCACACATAAAAACCATAACAGTCATGAGTCTGGCCACCATTAGGCACACCTGTTCAGCTACAAGCTCATGGCAGCAGCCCACTCACACCGAGGAACGATTTAAAGTCTCCAGACAGCCTAACATGCATGTTTTAGTCTGCAGGGGGAAACAGGAGAAAACGCATGCATGGGAATTGAGCCTGCAACCTTTTTGCTGTGAAGCAACAGTGCTGCCTGTGCCGCTCTGAACTGATACCAGACAGCTTATTAGTTTGGACAAACTGGTTAATAAATGATCTGGAACAGCAGAGATCATTTAAATGAAACCGACGTTATTCTGAAAGCTGATCTTCTTTTTCATTCTTCTGTTTATACGGGCCAAGGTAGCCACTTCCTTGAAATGTAGGACTAATGATGGAGTAATTTATTCGTTTCTTTGTTTTTGTGTGACTTTGGATCATTAATACACTTCTAGTTTCAGTGTTGTTCTATCAAATTAAACTGTTTTTGTTTTTTAGCCTTGTTTAGGTGCTTGATCATGCAGAGCTGTGGAGATGCAACAACCTGAAGATAGTCTTTGCTTTTAGAAGTGAACTCGTTTTATTTCTCTTTCCTAAATGACCCATTGACCCGTAGCAAACCTGATAAATCGACCACTATGGAAGATGACTAATCTCCTCTGGCTGTGAAATTACCTTGTTCTCTTCGTCTTGTTGCTTAACCTAAAACGTTACTGAGAAACCAGCTGAACAAAAGAACAGACACCTGATGTGACGAACCATCTAACCGTCCATTTCCTCAGTGGACACAAAGGAAATGCCTGACTCCAACCTGACCAAAAAAGGCGGGAAAGACCTTCGTTCTCCAGCAGCCTTAAACCAAAACTCCTAGGAGTATCATGGAGTTGAGTAATGATAATTATTTTTTTTTCTCACACAACATCTCAAGATGATGGGTTAGCACTCTGGGAACTGAGAATGACTCCCGGCAACCACCACTAAAGGATAGGCTCAATATGTGTAAATGTAGCTGAGTTACAGCCACGGTTATCCCTGGTAGCCATCTTGAATCAGCTTCATTTAGATGCTCCTCCAATGATTTCTTTCTATGAATTGAATTGGAAACCATGACTTCACAAGACATTTGACAAAAAACAGTTAATTTCACTCAGAAAAACTGAGGAAGATCATAACTCTCTGGAGGTACAGCAGACTGTGTAAATCTGATCCTAAGACCTGCTGGTTTGTGTTGGTTTAAGGACCCGAGGGCTTATGTTGGAGCTTCAACTTTTCAACCACACATTGAGAAGAGTGACCATGCAGAGCCCAGAAGGGGTAAAGTGTGTCCATCTTTTGAATTCAGACCAATCCGAAGCCAAAAAGAAGCTTTTCTGGTCAAATTTACTGGCGCCTTGTCCAGGGTGGTCCCAGCCTGTTTGCCCCAAGACTGCTGGAGACAGGCACCAGTCCCCTGCAACCATGGATGGTAAATCAATGTGTTGTCTGATCAGATGAACCCTGATGATCAGACATCAAAAGAAGTTACTTTTTGAACCAGCTAGTAGTTTCTGTCACAGCCATTTTTGAAACTTCTCCAAACTTTGTCCATCTTTCACAAGAATCCCCTCACATTGTTAGATCCACTGAAAGGAACTGCCAGGTTTTCTGTTCTACCACAAGGGGGCGATAAAGTCTTTCCACTCAACACCAGTGATACAGCAAGCTCATCCATTCACCATTCAAGGGCTAATCACGGTGAGAGCCAAAACTGGTGCACATCAGAGTTTTGGGGGCATCTAAATGTCCAACGATTTTTAAAAACAAACATGTTCTGGACTTTAATTCTTTAAAAAGTTGATCTAAATAGGTTAGAACACTTAGGCGCTGATTAACGAGTAGCAAAACGATCACTTAGCATTTTTAAAAAC